GTTCCACGAGAAGAAGGTTCTTCTCTACTGTCGGTGGGATTCGGAAGGAATGTTGTACTATGAGCTCCTGCCAACCGGTACAACCGTGACTGCCGTCGTCTACGGTGCTCGACTTCAGAAGTTGGCTGGCGTCATTCAAAAAGAGCGTCCCAAACGCGACAAATTTCTCCTTCTGCATGACAACGCTCGTCCACGTGTTGCGAAGATGACTCGCCAGACGATTTCGGAACTGGGCTGGGAAGTTTTCCCCCATCCAGCGTATTCTCCGGACTTGGCCCCTTCCGACTATCACTTGTTCTGGGCCCTCGAGAATGACCTGCGGGACAAGGCACAAGACGATCGAGCACAGCTCGAGAATGATGTCGGCCGTTTCGCAATCGCCAGGGTTCTGGGCAAAGGGCATCTAGCAGTTACCCGTGCGTTGGGAACATGTCATAGACAACAATGGTCATTACATTGTAAACTGAAATTGCATTTCAGTAAAGTTATAACATTTTGAAAAATCTGCGCAGAGTGTTACAAGACTTTCATTCCAACCCAATATATATGTTCGATATGCTCGCGGTTGACAAAGATTTGCGTCAGTTATCTTGAGCGGTTTCTCTGGATTCGGCTGGAGCTCGTCCCCTGAGCCAGACCGGGCTTCTGGATTTCAGTCGTTGGTCAGTTCGTTGTGGATCGGTAGTTCCGGGTTGGATTGGATGCGATGGTACTCTTTTAGGGCCTGTGTTTCAAGGCGATGTTTGGCCGTGGGCTGAAACGGGAAGAAGGTGTTGCCGGAACCAACCGAACAACTCTCACATGAAGCTCGATGAGCTTCATGTGAGAGTTATTTCCCCAGACGGCACGACGATACTCGGCCGTTGACAAGACGACAGCCAATGCTGAGATACTGAGGGTTTTCGAATCGGTGCCCCATCCCGTACCCTGCTAACTTCTTTATCATGTTCGTCCGTTTCTTGATTTTCTCACGGTCGTTCATTAGGTGTTGGTGACACGTTAAGCTGCGGTCCAACGTAACCCCTGGGTACCTCGGATAGGGGTCGTGATGGAGTTGCCGACCGCTGAAGCAACATTGAGTTCGCTGGTGGCGGATCTGTTGTTTAGGTGGAATGCCATCACAATCGTCTTCGTCGGGTTTCGTCAAAGGCGCCAATTCTTGAAGTAGCCCTCCAGTGCAGTTAAGTCTGCCGTGAGGAACTTTTCGGTGTCAGAGGGGTGTTGCGCCTTTGTCGCTAATGCCTAATGTCTATGTAAATGAACTCACGGGAAACGGTCTCCGGCAAGTGATTAGTGAACAGCATCGGGTAACCTTTGTTATCTAAAGACCCGAATGGGCATTCCATTAGAACTAGGCCCAAATCGGCTCTAAAAGGGGAAAATTAGGTGATAATGGCAACTTATAACCGGCACATAACTTATAACTACAGCACTCAATGAATGCATTCTCATCGGATTCGCAGACCATTACTAAACGCAGTAAAGCGAGAAGAAAGAGATAAGGAAGCATTGTAACTCCTCGACATCTTTCGATTCATTTTGTCAACTTTCTTCTTCCCGAACAGTTTCATTAACGTGAGAATGGCGGAACTATGAAAAATGGCGAATAACGTTATCGGTACACATTCTATAAGAATCCAACATAGAGAGCGACTATTGATATTCCGACATTTGAACTACTACCAGCGGGTTATGCCATTGTGACGCGAACGGTTTGAAACAATTTTTTTCCCCAGTTCGGTTTCAAAGACCAATCATTGAAAGATCTGTGTTTATCCTGTATTCTGTGAGGTTGGCTACTTTGGGCTTATAGCGAAAAGCACTGGTGAAACAGTTTGAGTGTCTATCGACCAGGCGATTCACTTATTCCTTAGGGAAATACAGGACATGGATTTTTCTGTTTCAACGAAAGCGGGCGCTTTCGCCCTCCTTTCAACACGGCTATCACCATGTTGAACGTGAGCACTCCATGCTAGGCTAGCCTACAACCCACACTTCTTAGCATTACTATTACTACATTTTCATTATTCTCGGATAAAAAATGCGCCAACGCAATCTACTCAGGAAGGGCTTGCGATTGACACATACCATGTACTGTTTCATTCACTGTTAACAAAATTTCAACTAGCATAAAAAACTCAGGGTTAATTTTTGATTAGCAGAAAGAGAAAAATATCAAAGGGATAGAGTTCAAATTTCAAAGTGCCACACTTTGGTGAATAATAGGAGATGCCTTACGTCATCAGGGAACCATAAACTGGATGAATGCAATTACTCAGCGAGTTCTGCCTCGTAGCATTCGAGTGAGACACATCGTTGAAATTTCGAACATCCGGGCATTAGATAAGGTATGATTTTGTGCCATGAAAGGGATGCGAAGCAACACTATTGAGCTGACCCGACCAACAGATCGGGCCGGCAGCTCGGTCCTCGATCAAGTTTCTTGTTTCGTGCAGGCAAATACGCTCTCAGAGGGTCTTTTCTTCCAGCCGCTTGCAGCTGCTAGCGGAACGTTGTGACCTATGAGAGCATTGGAACAGACCAGCACGAATGTGACGGCATGGAGTAGCTAGAAGTGTCAGCAAAAGACGCCTCGAAAAACAAGAAACCCAGAGACCCCGTCATCTGAAGTTTAGAGGCCTAAGGAAATCGCGTGTTGGCCCGATCGACCCGATATGAACCCGCGAATGGAGGCGGGAAAAACCACGATTGGAACCAGGCCAATCGACTCGAATTCGAAAAAGTGGACCACACCAGGCCTCCGGTGGACAGACAGACAGACAGACTGACAGACTGACAGAGGACGCAGGCAATTATTGTAATGATAGATCGCACACGCGCGCACGGGATCCGCTTCGGGAATAAAAAAATTTCAACAGACATTAACAAGTCCGGATTGGTATGACAACAAGCAGAATGTTGCAAGGGATAAATCGCACGAAAATACTATATGAATAGATTGCAGCGAAATATGTTTCAGCTGAGAGAGTTGAGATTGAGTGTGTGTGTGTGGCGGTAGCCGAGAGGGGTTTTTCTTTCTTGCCGGGTTGGGAGTCTTGCATTTCATGGCGTTTGACCGAGTTTCGGAAGATTTCGAATGATTGGGATTCGTTGAATATCAGAACGAGGCCCTCGTGGATTTATTTAACAAGCTTTACAATTCTTGTTTGGGGAACTCGCGAGGAAGGGACATAATGAACAAAAATATAAAGAAGCTAACAAAAGGGGAAACATGGTCACGGCCATGGTGGAGGCTGGAGGTAGGTGGGCCACGCAAATCAGGAAACTGTGTCCAGGACGGGGTTACAATTAATACTGCAACTCTGCCTCTAAGGGCATCCAGAAAAACCTTACTACCTCTCCCCTTAGTCAGTGACCGGGGCCTACTTCCCAAATTAGGGCATCCTTTCTACCGCGTCACCGGCTAGGAGGAGGTCGTATGAAAATTTACTGTTGCTCGCGAAGAAGCATGGTCAATCCACCTCGCAGATGAGACATGGCATGGCAAGCAAGCATGCGTACAATTTCTCCACACGTGCTTCATCTTCTCCAAGGAATGTAAACATCTACTTTGGCTCGGGAAAGTCACCAGGTCAATATGGCCGTGGCGGTCAGCGTGTTAATATTACTGTGTCGATATAATGATTACAGTCTACATGTGCATTCTGGAGTAGGGATGTTCGACGCCCCACCCGAGCCATTGTGTATGCTAGCAGTGCAGTGGCCTTTACCGGTATGCGTACTGTACTCGAGTCAGGTTTTCTTACGCCCTTCTGGTGTCGTCTTCGTTGTTCTGGTGAGGTCCTTCATCGTCCTGACACGGTTAGTGTACCGCATTTTTCTTTTCGGGCAAAGGCCAAAGAGTGAGAAAGTCAACCTATTTTGAGAAATGATGAGTTAAGATCCATCAATCCCCCCAATTAGGCTGACTTTTATCGATCGTTCAGTCAAATATAGAATGCGGCTCGCTTGATTCATCCTGTTTTCTCTGAGGTTAGTTCGCTAAGATAAATAGCAAAAACTCAAAAGCACTGGTGAACAAGTGTGGGTTCCGAGAATTCGGGTGATTGAGTTCTTCTTTGGGGGGAATACAGGGCATTTGTCTTGAGGACCGAAGGCAGGGGGAGGATAGGAGATGAGAAGAACGAAAACAAAAGGACAGTCGTGACTTGAACCGGCTATCTTCTGATAGCCGGTTGGGTTTGCTACCATTCCACCGCCGAACCTGAGACATTCAGTTTTCCTTTTCACTGTGCCTACAAACACCACAGATATGGCTTTCTGTTACGACGAAAACGGGCACTCTCGCCCTCCGTTCAACGTGGCTACCCCATTTTGAATGTGCCACTTCATGAAGAACTTGCGATTGATACGTCACATGCGTCATTCGACAGGTAGAAAAGTAACCTTCGATTAAAAATAATCAACAGTAAGGAAATTTCAAAAAGTGGCAATCAGATGTAAAGGGCATCGTCGAGATCGAAGAGACTGCGTAGTCCGTTCCAAGACAGAGCACTAAAAAAGAAACAGGGAAATAAATGTAACATTTTAAAATTAATTAATCAATTAACACCTCATGTTTTTTAGACAAGGTTTCAGACCATGAAAATCGATGAAATCACACTCACAGGATTTCTCCTTCACGGTTCGGTGATTCGATAAACTACGTAATATACGGTATCTAATATATCAATTTAATGATTTTGATGAAAATCAAGGCTTTCGACACCATATGTCACGTATTTCAATGGGGACGTACTTTAAATACGTGTCTCCCATTTCGCAAAAAATGAATGAAGTAATCACTATCCAAGGTAATGGAGCGCCGAAGGCTCGACCATAGCGCTACTATGTAGATAGTCCTCATGTACTTCCATATTTTCGAGCAAAGTGGTTGATCGAGAGAGAAACGAAATACAGACACATTGCCGCGTGCTGCAAAAAAGCATCGGTATAAATAATGCAACGTTCCTGGGAACATCATGAGTCATACATGTTTAATGTTAAGGTGTGTGATCCTGCAATGCTGAACCAATGTCACTGTGGACACTGCAGGTGATACATAATGCAATGCGCTTCATAGATAATTTAGATCGTTGAGAATGCAGGCGGCAATGGTGGATAATAACGGGTTCTCCAACGGAAAGGTCAGAAGTCATGAGGAGCAGACAATAAGCATTTGTCAAGGGCGGATTCAGGAATTTTATTCGTGGGCTTCAAGAATCGGATTAGTGAAGATCGGATATATTGTCAACATGATTTTCTCCGATTTTTTTCTTGACGTTACAGCGTCTAAACCGAGATTTGGATTAATATAAAAAAATTGAGGGGGAAGGGGGTTGTTGCCCCCCCTATTTCCCCCTCCCCCCACCCACTTGGGGAACCTGGAGCAGCCCTGTCACATCCAATTTCTAGACACATTTTTCACCGATAGAAAAGTATGCATTATGTCATTATTGGCCTACACATATTAATATAATGCGTCATTAAAGAGAACCATCACTTCTCTTTCTCTCCAGTCCTCGAAAGCTGCACCACCCCACATCGTCTCGGCTTCTATTCAGATGGCTCAATCCGAGACAACCTGCAGTTGATTCAACATCCTCAAGGAAAATCATGTCGAAGAAAGTGGCTTCTCATCACGAGGAAAGGGGAAGGGCAGCAGAGATCCAGTTCGAGTGCGAAAGGGATACCGCTGTTGGCGTTCGCCCAGTCACCGTCAGATTTCTCAGCAGATTCAGTGGACACGTGAGTCGTTTGTCTTGCATGAATTCTGAGCAAATTTTGGGCTTGATGCACGGTTCTTTCGAGGAGAATAATATGAAATTCATAGATTACTGCTTTTTTTGTTTGTATGCCCATTTCACGAAATCTTGCAATGTAAATCTCAGACCCGCCACAAGCCTCATTCCCCAAATGATCTAATATATATAGACGATCGTGACTGACTGACTGACTGACTGACTGACGCTAATTCTAACCATGTTCCAGAAAGGTTAGAAATCTGAAACTTGGTACACATGTACCTTTTGGGTTGCAGAGTTCAGAAAAAATCCGACTTTGGAGGTACATGCCCTAGGGGTACATATTTTTGGGGGAGAAGTTTTTTAAAAATATATATCATTATGGATAAGAATACATTGGAGATATCCCGTTTCTGTGGTGTAGTGGGAGCACATCGGACTGATAATCGGGAGGCCCATGTTCGATTCCCACCAATTCCATGCCTTTTTTTTTCTTCTCTTGCCTTCCATGTCCCGTTGCTTGAATAAAACAGAGAGAAATGGAAAGCTAAAACGTGGCATGGACGTGCCTAACGAAACGATGAGTTCAGGAAAAATGCAACACATTAGATCCATGCCCTGGGGGCATATTCTTGGGGGCTGACGTTTTCAGGTATTTGTGTCATGGTGTATTGAGCTAGCGTGTAAAGATGAAACTTGGTACATAATTACCGGGATGCTGCGTGCAGAAAAATTCAGACTTTGGAATGAAATGCCCTGGGGGCATGAATTTCAAGGGGAGATGTTTTCACATAATTGTCGTGGTGAATTGGACAGAAATGGAACGGTGAAAATGGCACATGTATAATTTATTTGGAATTATTGAGTTGAGAGAGTATTCAGCTTTCATGGTTCATCCTCTCCTGGCTTAGCTTTTGGGTGCGTCAGCTTTTGCAAACATGATTTTTCACCAGCAAAAAAGGCAAACGTATAATATTGAAACTTTGTGGGCATGTAGTTCACTGAGGTTTGATTTCGGTAAAAATGTCAATTTTCGGTTAAAACGCCCGAGGGCACATATTTTGCAAATTTTCCTGAATTTTCTCCTCCAGTAAAACGGAGGGTGCTAGAAAGTTTAAACTTGACAAAGAAGTACATGATGAATAGATGAGTCAAAAAACAATTTTACTTTCATCTAATATATATAGACGCCACAGGGGAATACACGCCATAGGGGCACACCATTTCAGGGAACATATTTTCAAATAGTTCTCTTTGCGTCTATCAAACGAAGACCCAGGGAAAGCTGTGACATGGCAAGAATGTGATTGGTGAAGCACTCAGCTCAAATGACAAGTGTCAAATTTACAAATTTACATAACTACCAATTGGGATGCTGCAGAAAACTTCAGACTTTGGAAGTAAATGCCATGGGGGCACAAATTTCAAAGAATATATTTTCAACTAACTTTTTTTGCATTAACCTGATTAACATGGAAAGCTGACACTTTGCATGAATGTTACTACTGACACAATGAGTTAAATGAAAATCTTATGTCTCGATACATCCCCTGGGGAAATTTTTTCGAGAGGCAATGTTTTGAAAGAAAATTGTTTGGGCGAATTGGACAGAAATGAAAAGGTGAAACTTGGCACAGGTATAGGTTAGATGATATTACTGACCTGAGGGAGTATTCAGCTTTAATGGGGCATCCCCTCCGGGCATAGGTTTTGGGTGGGTCGCTTTTCCAAAAACATTTTTTTTCCGCCAGCAAAAAGGGGAAACGTAAAAGGTTGAGGCATGGAAATCCCTGAGTCTACATTTCAAAAGAATAACATATTTCATTAAAAAAAACATTAGGGCACTTTTTTCAGTCCCATTTTCCTGATTATCTTTCATCCAACAAAACAGCGACAGAAAATTATACTTCCCTCAGAATTACCTGTTTAACAGCTGAGTAGAGGAAAAATACCAATTTTGAAACATGACTTCTTAGCGTAGATTATTAGAGAGAAGTATTTTAAAATGTATTCTCCACCCTTAAAAAAGGGACACAAAAAAGATTTCAAGTTATGCACACAGAATCATAGAGGTAATGATTTTGATTTTAAAAATCAAGACTTTCAACCCCATATGTCATGTATTCAATATTTCAATGGGGACGTACTTTAAATACGTGTTTCTCATTTCGCAAAAAATGGATGAATGAATCACTATCCAAAGTAATAGAGCGCCGAAGGCGCGACAATAGCGAGTTTGTTTGCCCGAAGGGCAAACAAACTCGCTAGTATTAAATATTATTTGTCTTGCTCGTAGGAAATAGCAGAAGCAATAATTTGGTTTCAAGGACCCTGTTAGAATGTTTTAATGGCAGTCATTGCTATCCCTTACTAAACGTCCACCCCTTATTCACCTGGTCAAACAACCAGGTGAATAGGGGTGGATTTGAAACCAGGTGGGCATCCAACCCCAGGGGGAAATCCACATAGCCATTAGCGCACATGTATTTCGAGCCAGGTGGATTTTTCTCCGGGTGGATATCGCTACAACAGGTGGAAATGCCGCTTGGGGGCCCTTATATCCGATACCAAATCCATATGGAAGGTAGACGTTTTGTAAATGATTTTTTCCATTTGATGCAACCATTCAAATTATATTTCTTGGAGGAACCTCACTCGCCTGTTTCACATCGCATTTAATTTCAGTTCACCTTGAGTGAAGCCTCTTTCTTGGGTCGGCCCTACACGTATAGGCTAAATATTTATTTAAACGTTCTTGATTGCATGTACGTCTCCATCCAGGCCCTAGGTCGTTCCATTTACCAGGACTCCTCTCGCTTCAGAAGCGTCTTCTGGCTTCTGGTATTTCTCATCTTCACAAGCTACATGATGTACGGAATTATTGGTAACATCAATATGTACTTGTCCGGCCCAACGACGACCACGTCTCAGGTATTGCGAACATGAGCCTTCTCCTTTACCACCTTTATCAATGAGTTTCCACACGGAACTTAAAAGTAATTCCAACTATTAACTAGATGGACACGAGTGGGAGTCCCTCCTTTCCAGCCGTCACGATCTGTCGCCGCAGCCCTCTCTTGCTGAACCTCACTGGTGATTCAGAGGCATTCCTCGAATTCATAAAACTCAATCGGGAACTGAAAATACTGCTGGAGAAGCTATCAAGGGAAGAGGGCGTAAGCAAACTATCGACGGGAAATCTGTCATCTTCCCTCGATGATACCGAATGCGGCAAAGATGCGAACGGGATGAAAATGACCTGCATCAAGCCCTTCGCTGAAATGCCCTGTGAGATTGAAAACCGGTTCCTTTCCCTTCAAATGAGGCATATGTTATACCAATGAACAATCCTTGCTCCTGATCAAGAAAAGAAATGCCGGTGTTCCACATTATTATTTTGGTATGTACGTCACACGCGACCATGACAAATGCACACGTACTCTTCTGCAGAGATGACATTTCAAACATTTGTCATGGGCTATTTTTCATACACTACCTTGAAATTCACAAACCATTCATTATTCTACAGAACCTGCACACGGGGAAACCTGTGAGCGCTGACCTATCGTATTAAAATGTTCTCCAAAAATTAAGTTTGAATAAATTCTTTGGATGTGATGTCTATCTACGAAACACGAACTGAAATCTACGCAAGACTTCCAACACAGTGGTATTTTCATTTACATCGCTGAGGATCTCGGTGAAAATAGCGTCTATGTTTCTAATATGTTCAACGAACATAGTTTTTGAATCTGAAGAAGCAGACGATATTTCGTAAAGGGTTTTAAGCAAGATTAGTGACAACCTGAAATAAGTCAGGAAAATACGGAAATACATTGGTTATCAGACGAGAACAATGGCTTGACAGGGAGAAGGTGACTTTATTTGCGATGATCCGCCTCCCCTAAGTTTGGTTGGCGCTTTTCTCATGAGTTGCATTCCGATGACTTGCCATATTTCAGAGACTTGGTCAGAAACAGTCGAAGATTTCAAGGACGTTCAGAGATTAATCTTGTCTAGGGATATCATAGATATGCTTCCAATAATCTATTTTTCCATGAGGCTCTTCATTTCTACATGTGACACCATTTTTTATGTTTAGTTAACTTGACTGATATGTTGGATGAAGGACCCATTTCGTCCCCCGAGAACCTCCTGAACTACTTCTACAGCTTGGATGGCTCCCTACCGAAGCTGATCCGGGACGCTTTTGTCGACATCAAGCAGTCAGTGCGATATTGCAGCTTCAATGAGGAACTTTGCGAAGACAAGTAAGGACATTTGTGCATCCGCCTGAAAACGTCCTGATGATTAATATGAAACCTTCTAATACCAAGAGTGCGGAAGAAGCGTCCGAAATCATCTAATAAGAAGGAAGCCATTATTTTCACCGCTACCGAATTCAGTAATAGGAAACATCACTTCTCCAATAACCTTAAAAATTAATCACTCTACGAATCCATGCACTACTGCCATCGGGAATGGTAACGATTCCATGCCTCCTCAGTAGAGCCTGTTTTATATTATTGTAGCCATGTTCTCGCAGTTTTTTTTTATATTTATACTCTTACGAAAATGTATTATAGGAACCTAAAGGAATCCTATAGGTTCCTATATGCCCCATAGAATTCAGTTTGGGACCTATAGAGTTCCTATAGAACCTAGAGAGTACCCTATAGAACCTATAGAGATACCTATAGAACCAATAGGGTTCCCCGTAAGGTCTATAGGTCCCCTATAGGACCCAAAGGGTTCCCTATAAAACCTGTAGGGTTCCCTATAGGACCTGAAGGGTTCCCTATGTTCTTCCCTAAGTTCTCTTCTAGGCCACTAGATGGAAGTATTGGGTTCTCGCATTTCTCAAAGGGCACAAAAGTGCCCGCTCCTTACCCATGGAATCATCTCTCACAAGAGAGTTTTGTACATCCCCAAATGTCTCGCCTTGCCTCATTGTAGCAATCANAATGCCACAAGTACCTGAACGTTCGTTGTCGTCTGGTCTAATCCGATCGTTGATGTCATTGTAGCAATCAATAAACTTCGACAGTTCCTTATTTGCCATCCCCATCTTCCAGATAGAATCATTGAGTCCCGTGAAGAAATATACCCTTATTCCTTTTGTAAACCACGTACGAAACTAGGTAGGCTCTATTTAAATGGAGTTTCAGTAAAGAGACATGCTCGCAGGTTCTGTCTTCTATTTCCTTAGGTCGAGAGAAGAATACTACTTCTCTCTACTGAAGGACTGAAGGAAGTAGACGTGCAATCCAGCTACACATGTGGGGCGGGGCCATAAATTATGGAGACCCCCACATTACTGGTATTAATGATGCATGTCTCCCTACCATGGAAAAACCCCTAATCTGTTTTTGATCTACACCGAAATGCTGCGCCAATATTAACGCCGGTCGCCTTTTCCGTCGTAATGCCTGGGTTTCGAAACCCAAAATATCCTCCCAGAATCCTATAGGTCAGGAGACCTATAAGGCCCTATAGGGATCCTATAGGATTCTTAGGTTTTTCGTGTTTCAAATAGCTATAGGAAAGTCTATAAGTTTCCTATAGGACATTTCCGTAAGGGTACACCACTGATGATCGTCGGAAGGACTGTCAGGCTACATGATTCGTAACTGACAATACCAACTGAATGATGGCTATGAAATGGATCATCAGTAGCTGTAAAGGCATCTGCAAAAGCGGTATAATATCGATGGTCTTCAGATGACAGAAGTGCGTAGAATCGAAAAGTGATTACTTTAGGGGGTAAGGGAGGTGTGATGTTTCTGTGTAGCGATTGTGATTCTGGAAACAAAACTGGTTTATTTTCTATTTAGTTCCTCACTCTTACAAAGCAAAGCGACAAGTTTAGTATAACTATTTTAGAAAATGCGTCCTTCTTCCCCCCCCCCCAAAAAAAAAATCAATCTAAACATTGCAAGTCGCAAAAGTGCAATTATTGTATATTTATGGTAGTCCACTAAACAATATAGGTGTACAGATAACTAAGTACATGAATCGTTTCCATGCGAGCAGCGAAGAACAGAAGTATATAGATCTGTAGAAAACTGCATTGAGTACAGTAAAAAAAAAGACAGCATGATTCCTTCATATTTCCAGAGATTTCACAATTGTGGAAACAGACGAGTATGGAAAATGCCTCGTATTTGCGCGAAGGGCAGTTGACAGAGACCAGAATCGAATTTCTGCAGTACCTTCGAAGGATCGGAACACAAAAGACCAGAGATTCTTCAAGGGCATGAAACCTTCGGTATGATTCCCTGGACAGGAATACCTAAAGCATGTATTCCACATAGTTACCTCACCCTGATCTCATTTGCACAGGAAGGGCTTCAACTGATACTCACGTCATACGTCTCGAACGAGATGGTTCTTCTCTCACCAACCGACGGATTCAGACTCATGATCCACTCTCCCGGGATACAACCTAATCCCCTCGAAGGGGGATTTGATGTAAATATGCAAACAATTTCCTATGTCGGCATCAGCAAGGTGGAGCTTGAGAGACTTTCTCCAGACCTGGGGGGAGATTGTGCACCTGAATTATATTTGGAGCAGCGATTCGACTCGAAGATCTTCAATTTCTCAGAGAAATTGATATACTCCAAGGAGGTACAGAATGCTTCTTTTTTAATTTCCTATGTCAACAAGTCGGGAATACATTTGCATTGTACTTTTCTTTATTCCTCCACTCCATCAGCTGTGTCTCAGGATGTGCTTCCTTCAACTGATTCCTGAAGACGCTCGATGGGGCTGGGATGATTCTCTTCTGCGAATCACTTCTAATTACAAGATTAATAACCTTACAAGTGAGAAAATTGTCACTAGGGTTTTTTGGGTCGATGGCAGCCTCAGTCCACTCCTACAGCTTGGTTTACAGACCGGTTATAATAATGGCATGATTCTTTAAGCCTAATTTTTAATTCTTTATGCAATTGCGAAACTTGTTGACAATGTTCTTATTACCATTTCCCCGAATGAAAGGCTTCGAGGAAATAATGCGGGAGAAGGTTTTCAACGACGGTGATATCTGTGGGTGTCCTTCTGAAACTTGCATGTAAGCCGCATCATGAGGGACCTCGAATTCTATACATGGAGATGACAATTTGTGACGTAATAAACTATGTTTTAGAGAGGAGAAATTCCGGTGGTCGTTGTCATCGGTGCAGATGGGTCGTGAGAATGCCTTGCTTATGGACCTCATCACTTGGATGAGGAGAGAGAAGAATAAATCAAATGAAACGGAGCTGAGAAACAAGGCCTACTGTCATCATCTCGAGTTCGTTCACTTGGTGAAACATTTTTTTTTCAGGAAAAGTAGGCTGTCAATGAAGAACACTAATACATTTCAAAATACGTTTTTAAAAGTAATAGAAGAAAACTGAACGGCAATGTTCCTTAATGAGTTACTTTAGAATGCTGCCTCTGTTCCGCAGATATGTTCGCAAGCCTCCTTGACATCTTTTGTCCAAAACCGGAAATAAATTTAAAGTCGAAATCATATTCAAGGCGTCTCAGAATACCTCTGCTTTAGCCGATTCCTAGTCTCAGTTACTTCATTCAGGACTCTGCATTAAGAAAATGGGGAGTGAACGTTATCACTTACCACTAACAACTTGCCAATTAACTGGATTCATAATTGTCCCTTGAGAAAGGGGACACTTCAGAATGTGTCTTCACCAGTTTCCCTTACGAAAAATTCCTAGAGTATCCTATTATACATTTGAAGCATAAAAATCGTATAGGTTTCCTATGGGATTCCTATCAGATTTCTGTAGGATCCTATAAGAACTCTATAGGATTCCTATGAGAATCATATGATATTTCTATGTTTCAAAATCGCAGGATCATATAGGATATTTTCGTTCGGCAAGCCATATACCAGACTCTTTCTCTACATTGTTGGTTGGAATGTGAATTCATGGTGAAGCACTGTGGCCTTTAGAAGCGTGGGCTTAAAATGGTCAATTTCAATACATCTAATATATATAGACGATCGTGACTGACTGACGCTAATTCTAACCATGTTCTAGAAGGGTTAGAAATCTGAAAATTGGTACACATGTACCTTTTGGGATGCAGAGTTCAGAAAAAATCCGACTTTGGAGGTACATGCCCTGGGGGTACAAATTTTGGAGGGAAACGTTTTTCATGAATATTTTTTTGTGACAGATGAGGATGGCATTCAGAGAGCTAACTGGATGTGCTGGGTTCTGTGGTGTAGTCGTAGCATATATGACTGGCAGTCAGAAGGTCCAGGTTCAATTCCTGGCCATACCTTGGCTCTTTTTNTAAGCATGTCCTCCAAGGTAACTGTAACTTTACGAATTTGCAATCTGTCTCCTGAGATGGCTTCCCAGCTACAACCGTAACTCCTGGGAAAAAGCGGGAACTCATGCTTGTATAATATTTTCTACAGAGAGAATATCACGGTGGTGAACGTCTATTATGAGAATGTAGCTGTGGAGAAAATTGTGGAAAACCAATTGTACCCCGTGAGTTGATTACTTTTTACTTAATTTTATCAGGTTCTGCACGTCAATGAAATCTGCGAAAGAAATAAGAACATATGCTCTTTCTGAGCAGTGGACGAGCTTCATTGGGATGTTGGGAGGGATGCTGGGTCTCTACACCGGGCTCTCTTTCGTCTCCATCCTGGAAATGCTGGAATGGATTCTGGACCTCATCTTGTATGGTTGGAGGAAACCTCGAAAGGAAAACATGGGACCGAGGCGACGGGTCATTCTCACGTGTGAGTCCTCATGTATTTGACGAACTTACTACAATAAATTTAATGAGTCTCTCTCTATCATGCCTACCAGGGAAAGACAACGAAGAAGGAGAGGGAAAGTCGAGAAAGAAGGTTGTACGTTCTGGCTTTGCTTGGGGAGATGATCACTTCACAAATTCAACGCTGAAAGAAACCTGGAGAGCTGGATTCGATCTTGCCTTTTCCGATCGATTGACTTAAATATAAATAGGTTTTGTGGGCACTGTTGAAAGACACAGGGTGGTGTAATGGTAACAAAACTGATCGGCAATCAGAAGGCCCGGGTTCAATTCCCGGCCGTTCCCTGGCTTTATTTCGTCCTCTCTCGTCTATCGAACTGCTCTACCTTCTTCACGTAACAAACATAATGACATCTGCAGATTTATTACCTCGTAGTATCAACGACCATATTCCACGTAGCTTTTAGCACCGATTTCCTCTGCAACACACTGATGATCGCCTCAATTGGGCATGGAGTCTGTCCTTGGTAGTCGTAGCATACCCTTGTACCAGAGAGAGGACATTTCCCTGCATGTGCAAAGCCGTATTCATTGGGTCCAGTGTAGTTTATAAACCACTCTCCTCTCGCTCATTCGTATGAGTTTCATTGTCAATATAGGGTTATATTCGATTTAAGATGAAATCGAATTAGCGCCGGCCCATGTGACCATAAAAACGTACATGTTCGCTTTTCTCTTTATTGCCTGATGGATTCCGTTTTCTTTTTCTCCACAATGTTCTAGTGGCACAATGTGTAGACATCACGTTGCAATGGTACTGGTAGTTCAAACACGAAAGCACTTTCTGAAAATCTGTCATTTCCTCTATGTCGGTTCTTCTTCCATGTCCATAGGACATCATCAATGTGTCTTAATTTCTCGATAGGTTCCAATATTTTTTTCTCAATGACATTGCATCCAGCCGCAGAAATTGACAGGCAATGAATAGGATATATTTGAGTGATAGAGACAAGAGTACGTTTTCTTCTATAAACAGCAGCTAATTTTCCAGAGGCCAGCAAGGCATGCCCACCAGTTGGTAGTTCTGCCGTGCCACACTTCTTCCCGAATTTCAGTTCAATTCACTGTCTGGGTTCTTTTACGATCATCGCTGGCTAGCTTTGTTTTTGTGTATCTTGAGGGAATTGGGGATGTGTTTTTTACCTTACGTCTTTCGAGGCAGTTTACTTTTTACCCAGAAATGTGTTATTAGCGCAAAAGCACAATTCCTGTTTATTGTTTCGCATGGAAGATTTCGGAGACCCAGTAAACTGTACTTCACAACGAGGAGACCACATCGACTATTCACTGTTGTGATTGTTAACAATTTGCTTTATGAATGAACTGAAATGTGCTGAAATGGCTTATGTGATATTTCATGTGAAATGTGCGATGTTGTTATGCTTCACTTAACAAGGCATCTTGCATAAGCATGGTAACATTGAGAAATGTACTGGAATTATTTAGATATTGAAAATCCTCGAGGACAAATGCTGGGAGTTCAAGAATGGAAACACATTTGCACTGCATATACAAATGCGACTTTAATGTAAAGGGGTCAAAGTGACCCTTCGAGTGTTTATCCAGTCCAACTGTTCAATTTATTTTCCAGTTCAGTTGTTAGTACTCCATATTTCCACTGATTGTTCAATGGCTTCCTCAAGGGAAACTATTAATTTAACTTCGTGATTCGTGAAAATGCCTAATTTTAGTTTGAAATGTTAAGGTTACAATTTGCGGTTGAAGATAAAGAGCGATTCGGTCTCTCTCAAAGGACACTAGTCTCTGTCGATTCTCCTTGTCCACGAAAATGACTTAGATACACACACGCACATTCGTTCTCCTGTCATTGCACCTGTACTACCGCCTTCTGTCAATAAACGGCCTGGCATGATCATGGGGGACCTTTCCCTAGCTTCCTCCTATTATTGCCGCTCGATATTGCTTGCCTTCTTATTTCCTTGCTACAACAGCATTCCGCGTGTGAAGACCCCTCATTCACTTCAGCTCTCTCGCTCACGGCTCATGTTGACTTTTATTGAAAAAACTTGAATATGTGTTCTTCAATGCGTGAAATGACAAGATCCTCACGTAAGGATTCAATACCTAAAGAAACAAAAAAAGGCAGTGAGAGAAATCTCAATTTCTTTCACCTTGACCTTGATAACCTCTATGACCTTTCCATATCGTAAAACAGCTTTCCTTCGACCAAACAGGCAGAACAGAATTGAGTGAGAAAGGGATGAATGGACTGGCTGGTTTTGATTGTATCTGTCCAATCATGATTTCAAATCATTACATCCTTAAAACAGGAATAATAAACATTTATTTTCCGTGAGATATGAAATGGACGAGAGGAATATTAGAGTCTGCGTCATTTAAAAACACAAAAAAAACAGACAAATAGCTTCATGCATGGTTTACATTTTTGCAGGAAAAATATTTTTTTAATCGGAGGACCTTGGTTTCGAAGCAACCGAGGTTCGGAAGTTAAACATAAAGCTTACGCAATTCTGGCCACTAGCTAAGCCGAGCGGTTAATGTGTGTTTATGTATGTATTACTTCTCTACAGGGTCAAACACTTCCAGATATGTACTTATAGTTTCAGCAGAAATCCTTATTTTTCACCATAGCTTATCGCTGGGCGAAATGAAATTTGCATATCGATATAACGGAAGGGAAAGGAGGAAACTAAGGGCCCTTTTAGCTTTTAAGGGAGAGCAGAGCGGTAGAAAGCCTATCTACTCCTCTGTTCTCAAAGGAAGTATGAGCTTTCCCTCGCGACTGTAGCGAGTGTTTGCTCACTGCCGTACCTCTTGTTTTAAGCGTTCATGGTGAAATTTGGGGCTATTCGTCAGTTCCTCGCCACTTGCGTTCGCATGGGCGCAGCAACTAAGCCCATCACTGCGGTTTTCTCATGGGTGGTCCATGTCTCAAAATGCAGAAACATATGAAGATCTGCGGCATAACTACATGCCAGAACTCCAGGAGAGGAAAATCCAAGCAGAGTGTCTCCCTGTCGACACGTTACGAGACGTGTATGAATCGGCACTGGCATGGAGGAAGCTAGCAGAGTATATAAGAAAGGCGCTGGAGCGAAGAGAAGCCCTCATAGATAGATAAATTTGACTGACTATGGCTGTATACATGAAGCCTCCAAATAAATAAATAAATAAATATAATATAATAAAGACAGGCGCGAGCGTTCTTCAAAGGCTGTATTGTTTTCCCGTATCGCAGTAGTACCGGAAAATTGTAATAAAAAATAATAAAAAAAATATATATATATACATAGACAGGGTAGGGCAAAAGCCATGGAGCATGGGAAATATTTTTGGAATTTAAATTTCCAAGTAACTGCTTGACGTCAGCACATTTCTGTGACGATATTTAATAAATTTCGCATGCGGTATTGCAGACCAGAGAAGAGAGCTCCCGCTGCGTCCAATGAAATTGGCCGGAAATGAATGACCTTTACTAGCCTGGAACAAGCATGGCAATTTTCGGGATGATGAGTATTTTCCAGTGCCGTTCATATTGACGACTTCCATGCTTCAGAGTGCACAATTCCGCCATCATTTGACGGTCCAATATTTGGAAATCATATTTGACTGAGTGTTGTGAAATAGCCTGAAAATGGTGTATTGAAAAACGAGTGGAGTTGGTGATGTTTTACACAAAAACAGATAGTTGTTTTCAAAAAATCATATGGTCACCATGAAAGAAACCTAAAAATAGGCAAATGCAATAGGTCCACTGCTTTTCGATTTTTAAAGCAAAATCATGGGCGACCAGCATTGTTCTTTTTTTTAAATTAAATATGCGCAATGGGAGAAGCCGAGAAAACAGGGCTTTTAGCCTTAGTTTCCATACAGCTGCAGCAAATAATACGACAGATGTTTAGAGCTGTGGGCTTTCGTGAAAGGTAAGACGACGGAAAGGAACATTAAATCCCCGAATCACTCCTACATTCCATGACTTTTGCCCAACACCGTATATTATGCTTAGGCGTCTGCGTCCATAAGCAATGTGCGCATGCGCGGCGCCTTCTCCAGTCTGGCTCCAGGCGTCTGCCTCGCTCTCTCGAGCTCGCGGACTCCTGGCCTGGCATCGCCGCTTGGTGGCTGGCCGCAGATCCGCTCGCAACCCTCATCTTCTTTCCTTCTACTACAACTGCATGGACCAACTCTCACTGCAGCCGATCTTTCTTTCTATTCACCAACTTGTATAATCTGCTTCATCTCTTCTCTTATCCTTTTTTGTAAAAGGCATGTCCTGTAAATGAAGGGCATAATAAATAAAAAAATGGAGATTGCGCTTTCTTTCCGGCCGTCGCGGCTTCGGATCATTTTTCGAGAACGGAGGAGAGAAGAATTGTACGTCTTACCCCCCCCCCCCTCCTCCCTTCTATTTAGGGGTTATTAACTCCTCGATACGGACTTTCCCGCGGGAACGTTTAAAACGTCCCTGCCCAAAACACTTGGGAGTCCCCTTTCATCCTGCTGGAGGAGGAAATGTATGTCCCCGCCCCTATATTTATCGGGATCTGGGCCCTTTTATCTACCAGAACCTCGTCCTCGTATCGATCGGTACTCAAGAGCAAATCTATTAGAGCCGGCTGGCTGTAGTCGAATTCGAAAAAGTCGACCCTAGCAGGCCTCCGGTGGACCGACAGACAGACTGACGAAGGACGTTGCCTATTATTATATGCACTTAGATCGCACTCGGAAGCACGGGATCTACTTCGGGTGTAACAAAACTTCAACAGAATAAAGGAGGGTTAGGGAACAGTCCACTTCGGACTTCCGAAGTGGACTGTTCACAGAATGTTGCGAGGGATATATCGCACGAAAATACTGTTTGACTAGGGTGCAGTGATATGTGTTTCGTCTGAGAGAGTTGAGGTAGGAGTGTGTCATGTTAATGCGTTGAAAAAATGTTTATGTTTTACGTAGGCAATCAAGAGCAAGGATGATCGGTGCCTCGTCCAGGCCATCGCTGTCCTATCACCTTTCCAGGCGCACAGCACTCGAGTCACGTTTTCTTACGGTCTAGTCTGGTGGCACGATTTGTAGGCCTCTGGACTGCAGTTCGGTCAAAGGCCAAAGTGTGAGGAAGTCAACCTGTTTAGGGGAAATGATGAGTCAGCTGGGGTAGGAAAGGGTTGCTGCATTCGGCAACGGTTATTTTCTAATCCAACTGATTCATCATCGCCCAAATTATGCTGATTTTCTCGCTTGTTAGGCCAAATATAGAAGGATTGTGGTTCGCTTGATCTGCCTTCCACTTTTGTCTGAGGTTAGTTAGTTACGGTTTATACAGATTGTCGGTCAGCTGTGCTACCATTACCCCCCCCCCCCCAACCTGGGAAGTACACTACCTGTCTTTCACCACGCATAAGGCTTTCTGTCCTACGAAAACAGGAACTCTCGCCCTCCGCAACGGGAGAATTTAAATGCAATGAATGAGAACATGACATGAGGGGGTGCGGTCGCCAGTACCCCCCCCCCTTCGTCCCCTGGATTCGCCACTGGCTGGCCGTATTAGGAAACAGGATGCGGCAAAAACACCTAATTTCTCGAAGGTCTGCCCCTCCTCTTCGTTAATCGTCATGGCAAAGGACGGGAAACTGACGCCGAGCGAAGATGAAGGGGAACCCGAAGATCAAGGCGTTACCTTAAATAGTCGTTTTGTAGGAAAACGTTGTCTACGGTTTTTATTGGCGGCTTCACGCTACTCACATCGCCACCCACCGCACACGTTTCCGAACGTCAGTGTCCTTCGGCCACGTTCCATATACTTCTTATTTCGTACTGTAGAGAAAAGCAAGAAGCACCTGAAGATTCATTGAATGTTCAATGAACATTTTCATTCTGCGTTGCCAACGTTCTATGAATTTCTTCGGGAACGTCTCCTGACTGTTTATATGTTCGGAAGTTCGAGCGATCAAAAACAGTTGAAATTGTGCGTTCCCTGAACGTTCATCCAGGACGAAAATTTAATGTTCCCAAACAGTATAAAAGGGTTGCATTCGTCCCAATCGAAGATATGCTTCCATGACAGTGACCATTTGCAATCGCCTAACAAGTTATTCTTATTCCAAGTACTATATTTCCTTATTTGAGACTGATAGTATTCCTATGTTGGCGCGCGAGTGAGAACCTTTTATCAGGCACAAAATTCTTTTTGAAATACCTGTCAAATGAGTTGTTACTCCTCTGAACCGGAGAAGCATGGGGAAAAAGAATTAGAACGGAAAATGCTACATTGCTGATTAATTGGTTTCCGCAACAAAATAATATACTAATCCTACTGGATTGTCTGTTTGTGAGGAGTGATTACACAGATAGTGATCCATTCCTGCACCATGTACTATCTGCCATGAAGTCATCTTTGAAAGCAAGCCATCTTCCCTCCATCTTCCGAGCAAGAGTTTTCTTGAGACGTCTTTGACAGGGACTCCTAAGACCATGTTTTTTTTAAGAATTCGAGTGTATTCCTGTGTGGTGTCTCGGTGGAAATATCAGGCACCGCAAATCAAATATCCTTGTACCTTTTTCAATGATTCTTAGGCCTTCCTGCAACGATGCCAACCCGCACCCCCCAAAAGGATTAGTAATGCCTTGGATGATGGAAATAGGGCTCGCGCACGGGCCAGCCGACGAGCTGAGGGAGAGCCGAACAGCTCCGGCTGTCGACTTTCTGGCCTGTCTAGGAACTCTTTAGTCTGGCGTCTGTAAGCACAAGCCGGTTTCGATTCCATTCGTGATGGCACGGCTGCGAGAGAGAGAGGCTATGAGGAACTTGCTCATTAAATGCAAGACGGAATGAAAATTTCGGTTTGTCAGCTCGTCAGGTTAAGGTCGTCCCTTCTCGTGCACTTTTGCAACATCAGAAAATGGAGTCAGCTCTGAAACAAGTTGCATTTGCTGAATTTTTGGATGAACCAAGTCCCATCATCGGACCGGACAATGAGTTCATTTTCGTGTTGGACAATGCTCAGGTGCTCAAAAGGGTTATTCCTCGATGCCCAACACCCTCCATACAATTCCTAACCCCCCCCCCCCTAATTCCGAAAGTCCTTAAACCCCTTCGAATTCACGTTCTCGCCCTACAAATCAGAAGGGAAGAAACGAATCGGTGCGTTGCAGGCCCCAGTGGCTATCCCTTAGTTGGCAGTTGCAGCAAGGAAGACTCTTACGAGATATCTATCCCAAATGAAAAAACACATGTGAAGAGTCTATTTGCAACGTTGATACGGATGCAGAAATGCAAACGAGCATTCTTTCAATGCGTCAACACTGCGCTGGCCAGAAATCCCATTCATGAATGAAGGCATTTCGTTTTTCGGTCTCCTGCCGTCTGGAGTTTTACTTATCCTCAGGGTATGGTTTGGCCTCGTATTCTCTTGGTTTCTCTGTCTAGACTGTAGGAAAGAAGAAACGAGACACATCGGCTTACACTAGCCGCTTCTCGCCCTGTTCTCCATTCCTTCATTCCTGGAACGCAAGAATGTAATGTATTGGTGATCAAAAGGCACTTTAATTGAGTGTCCAAAAGGTGCTCATCCCTGAACCTGGAACGTTAATACACCTCTTTGGACAGGGGTTGAACGACATCCTGAACGTTCGTGTGTGACTTGGGAGTAGACCTGATTGATCTCAAATCGTCATCGTATTTATTTATTCCTGGAAGTCGTAGAAGGGGACACATGATTTTAGTCAAGGGACTCTCCTAATTTAAAAGTTTGCCATACTTTGCAGCAAAACCAATTCAGAGTGAAAGGAATCTGAGTTGGGTCAAACCAATAACTCGTTATTGTTTCCATCCGTCCGATATTGATGCATGATTTTGTTCCAAAAGGCGCATTGACAGGCTCTCGGTCCATTCCCGATCCCCACCTCCGCCGCGTTGAGAATGTAGTATTTCTGCTCCGTCGCAGTGTATAATGGCCACTCCGACTCATTCTTCGCGGGATTTCTGTGCAATATCAACTGCAATATCATTCTGTGCAATATCAAGACGATGGGAGTTGAGAAGGGTAGGGAAAGGAAAGGATCAGCCTACCCGGTCGATGCAAAGCTGGAGAAATGGTGCATGATTCGTTGACTCAGTTCAATTTCTGAATGATTCCATGAGCTGATGACAGGTGTTCCAAACACGTATTCGATCTCGTCCCCATGCATCACGCCCATCCATTGTCCCCATGGATTCGAACTCGACCTCTGGAAGGATGTGAATGCGAAATTAGGTGGATCCTGTCAAAGTATCCTTAAGACCAAATGTATATACCCGGGCTTAGCTTGAAACCTTTGTCCGTCTACGATTGCAGCCACTATTGGTATATCATGTTCCTTCAGTTACAAATTGTAAGAAAGAGGAATGCACCTTAGTAACATTTAATTTTGGTTTAGACCGCATCAAGAAAACCGAAATCCCCTTAAATCACTCTCCATTTTACTTTGGTTCAGTGCCAATTTATTCAGGTCAGCCAAGCCCGGTTGAGGCAATGCTGAAATTTGTAATAAATTTCAGATTTTTCAAAAAACGTGCAAGTTTTCATTCCAAGAATACATCTCCTTCAAATGGCAGTAAATTCAACAAAATATAGTAAATAGCACAAACATTTTTCCCAACAAAAGTTATATGTTGTGCACTTTTCAACATCTCCATCCTGTCATATTGGATGATCCCGTGTAAATTTTAGCATCATCTAATATTGAATTTCTTCCATTTCCAAGACTTTATCCATATGCTCTCTGTTGGCGCAATTATGGGCTGAAATACTTTCAGTCTCTTGTAGCGTAATAAACAGACATTCTAATGTAATTATTGCATCAAGATGAAGTAAACTGAAACCCAAAATAAATAAAACCTAGAAGAGATTGAACTTTCTTCCGAATTTTCTGCAAAAACTATCCATTTTCCATTATATCAATGTTTGAAGGACATGGAATGAATAACCATAGATGAAACTAGTAAAATACTCCATTTACCAAGGGACAAGGAAACCTTACTATTCCCAAAGCAAGCATCAAAGAAAAGGTTTCTTAACAATTCGAATAGTAACCTTGGCGACGTATGGAGTACGGAAAAATCAATAAACATTTCAACGTAATTGAATAAGGTGATATCGATGAAACCGGCTGCTGGGAAAGGAATAACAAGGATATGAAGTTATTTTAAACTTTTCGTCGACTCTGCTTGCAGAGGAAAAATTGAACTCACCCAGGTGAAGTAGTAGTAGTAGACCTTGGCTCCTCGGAGGGAAATTTTTTCGGCGAAAAAATTCAACGGACAAAGAAAAAAGTAGTCGCCGATGATGTCTGCCAGCATTTTCTGATTGCCGGAGAGATTTTCTACGTCGTCCCAATTCGTGTACTGCCATGACGTGACGAAAAGCGTGATGCATCAGGCACGTATGAAGGAAGAAAATGGAAAAAAGAGGAGAGAAAGGGGAACCTGGAGGATGATTGCTTCCTTCTCCATCGAGTTCATTCCCGCGAAGATTTCTGTGCTAATGAGGGATGTGAATAAATCCCTGGAAATCAGGGTTGGTTCGTCTTTGTCCATGATGTTGAGGAAGTAGTACAAGAGGAAGTACGTTCCTGTGGAGCAACAATGACAACAGGTGATGAACAAAAATCCAGTGTGTTTCAGTTGCTTCTCCCTATGGTTTTGTACCAGATGAGGATGTCATGCTTAAAAAGACCCACCATTCATTTTGTCTACCCCTCGTTGCGTACTTGACGGTGACTCCGCTTCACATTTAGTGGCGCTCCTGCAAATTTTTTTCTACTTTTTTGAGTAAGACTTTTTTATCATGATACGAACGAAAGAAATGTATATTATGATGCCTAGGAGGAATGGAGTGAGATTCTCAACTCATAAAATGACAAGCAGGAAATAAACTGCCTTTGCCCCGCCGGGTATACTTAGTTGTTTTCTTTCTGCGCAAAATCTCATGACATTCAGTCGTTCTCTTGGAATTCCCGTGTGATTTAGTCCATTTGTGCGACTTAGTTTACCTCACGGCCACAGCATTTTAGCCTTGCAACGAAGTATCATGCCCTTGTCTTCAGCTGCATCTGGAAAAGAGCAACACATGCCTCCAATCCATAGAAAAGCCACAACTACCCTAGACTCTAAGAGCGTACCGCTAAACAGCCAGGGATAGGGATATTTCGCAGGATTCTCGCCTGGAAAGAAACTTTCATCTTTCGCCGAAAACCATAATGGTATGAGCATCAATGGGTTTTGCATAGTCAGAATAGATTATTGAATAATAATTTTCATAATTCCCGAGGAGATGTATCCTTGGCGCAACCGTCCACTTATCCCTTTATATGTCGAACCCAGACAATTTTTTCAAAAAGAAAAACTCAGGGAAAATATGAAATTTGAACAAAGGTCCACACGGTTCATTCAAGCTGACTCGCCTTCGTCCAAGTTCGATCCTATGATTAGTTCGATGTTGCTGAAATCTTGCTCTTCAAGCATGGCAACTGGATGACTCGGGAGGAAATCGCCGTCGATCGTGGGCACGAATGGAAAGCCAAGCATTCCCTGAAATGCGAAGAACACGTGGACTTAAATATGATTGTTCTTTTGCGAAGACCTGGAAGACGTGACTTCAGTTAGAATTCATCGAAACTTTGATGTCGTTGATCGGATTATTGAAAATCGAACCAGAATCGTCAATTCATCCTTCTTGAGTAGATCGCGACAAATATTAATACTAAAGGACAGTACTGACTTATTTGTTGAATGACGAAGCACTGACTGATTCTATATTACCACTTAACGCACTTTAGATCGTGGACCTATTCCTTCATGGGAAACATTGCATTAGTTCCATACGTCGTGTTGCCGGCTAGGAGGTATTCCTTAAATAAAAGACTCGTACTGTGAGCTAGTTACGAATATATATATAAATATATATTTCTTTATTGATTAGTTCAACTTCCATCACAATTGAATGGAAAGAACCCTGAGTTCAATAGACTGATACAAAGTAAAACCAGATGGGGGAAGCTAGGCCGCAAACATTTTGAGTCTTTTGTAAGGAGACATGTGATCAACGTTTTTACCACGCTATTATTCATTTTTTGTCTTGTATGCATTTCATACTGATCCCGATTAACCCATTCGTTAGAACGTGGAAAAAAAGAGTGGAAATGTATCCCAATTAAGTTCTGCTTCACGGCTTCCTTCATTCGCGAACAGTATGGTTTCTTCAACAATTAAAAACACGAATGGTTCCTCATGTGCTGAGCATAAAGGGGAGGAGGGGGAGGTAGGGGGGGGAGGTTGGTATGAAGAAGTTAGCAGACCTCGTAGAAGTTCCCTTGGAAGCGAGAGATATTGGCAGCAGATGTGTCGCGGAGACATTTCATGCCTTCCGACTGGTCGACATCTCCACAAATCAACCTGAACCACAGGGAATAGGAATACATATAAATGTATAATTCACATTTCGAGAAAAATACAAGAGTGAGTTTTTTTTAAGATAAACGGCAAATGTTTGTGATTGCTTTCATCATGCTGAACCCCGAAGGGCTCTCGTACTTTGGCCAAGTTGTATGCATTTAGCGTGACACCATGCGATTTTACTATAGGAACCATCCCAATACGTATGCATAAGCGTATTCTCGCGCTTGGGAAACCAAACTCTTCTGCCACTCCCGCTCTTCTTCCGACCTACGTTCTCCTGCTGCGCTCATGATGATTAACACCTCGATATGCTCTCATGATGAGGTATTGCTTATCCGGTCTCTGTAAAGTTGATGAAAATACCGAATGATTACGTCCAATACGGGTTTTTCCTTCCCGTTCCCATCACTCTCCAGAATACGGATTAATAAGCATGCCCTTTTTGCAATGAAAATGAAAAAAGAAAAGAAAATGCATCGTCCCACTGGGATTTCAACTCATGAAATGAAGTATTGCGTCTTTCTGTTGATCTCCACCTAAGGTGATCTGCAAAGCTGGTCCCAAAACTCGAAGAAACTCTACGACTCGCAAGTCACTTTCTGTTCAAAGGGAGTGAAAGGACAGCTCGTAAATGGAAAATACATTTGGACATGTTCAGAAAATAGATAATACCTGCAGCGTTGCGATACATTTTATGTCAGGCGCTATAGAGTTACATATGGCATGATGTTTTCCTTGCTTTCTCAGAGAGGTACCCAAAGAAAATTTATCCCTTTGCCATTGACAACTAATAATGATCTTTCCTTTCATTCAATAATATGTAAACTATGGAGAAAAAAGGAAGAAGAGAGTGGATTTTCGTTTCAATCAAGAGAGGTATGGGAAAATTCTGCGGCTCTTTATATTTCCATGCGTCCTCTTACCAATACGTATATGAGAGGAAAGAAAAGAAAATTCCACCAAAAACTGACTTCATGAGGTCGACAGAAATCTTTCGTTGATCGTCGAATGTCTTGTAGCTCCAAGGAGTGTTGATCGATCCACTCTGGAGGATTCCCCGGCGGAAGAAATGCCTCGTAGCCGGGGAGAGAAGAAGGGCGCTCACGATGCCTCCTCCTGCGCTCTCCCCGAAGAGGGTCATCCTCGAGGCGTCTCCTCCGAAGGCTTCTATGTTATCCTAGAGGGTGTTTTTCGTGAGAACGAGGCGCGCCTCAGGTCCAGGGAAGAACATTTGATGTATTTATTACCGGATTGACAGAAGAAAGGGACCGGACAGAATGGATCTATTAAGTCTGCAGGTAATTTAGGTAATTCGCTGTGCAAACTTTCGAAACCTGAGATTGCCCAAAACCCTAGCGCTACAACATGAATAGCAAATAATTAAGTAATTATGTAGTCAATGAATGGAGAACCCATCATGCCTAGAGTTCCAGTAACTCCTGATGACGCAAATAGCGAACGTGTACGAACAAAATATGCGAATGTACCTATCTGAAATGAGCCAAATTTATGCGTGCAAAAACGTGTTTGCAGACTGCATGGTATACCTGTATCCATTTCAGGGCCAGTGCCTGATCCCAGAGTCCTTGATTGCAGGCGGCAACCGGGACTCCGAGACAAAGGAACCCAAAGGCGCCGAGTCGATAATTGAGGGAAGCGACAATCACGTTTCCCGAATGAGCAAGCATCGCACCATCGTAGACGTCCAGCGTGGACGTGCCGCTCACGTATCCTCCACCGTGGATCCATACCATTACGGCAAGTTTCTCTCTTTCAGAACCCCATGCTTGCTCGGGCACCCAGATGTTTAAATAGAGGCAGTCTTCGCTCAACGGGGTATTCGGGTTCCACATCTCCTCTCCAGAAAATCCTATTAAGGAACCGTATCGTGTGAACCATAGGGACTGAAAGTCGTCACAGCATGTGCCCACATACTATTCTAAACATAAATTCAAGCGTTTGAGTCCCCACGACTCTTCAGGCAACTGCTCGTTCATGATGCTCTTCGGAAATGACTCGTGAGTTATTATGAGTACTGCATTCAGCTGTCAAATGAGAAATACCAGCAAGCACCTTACGAATAAAGATATAAAGAAATAAGAAGAGCTGATGGCGCACCGTCAAAATAATTGGACGGCTCCTGAAAGCACGAGTTGGGAAGGGTCGTGGCATTCACAAATCCGCTCCACGGGTCCACGGGGACGGGTTTCTGGAATCGGAGATCCCCGATCGGAGGTTTCGCGTATGGGATGCCGGTGAAGGAAAGGACGATCTTCCCCTCGTGAACTTTCCTCGCGTACCCTCTAATCGCCCCGGTTGTTGTTGCGACCAGTACGTCGTGAATGGATAGCACATCGTCTGGCACCAGGACCAGCAGTAAGATGCATGCTTCAAGCCAGGTCCGTTTCATTCCCTTTTCACTATGAGCACTGAAAATATCATTATAAATATTTCCGCGCCAACATGCAAATGCTTATATCTATGATAGGACAAAAAATGAATAATAGCGTGGTAAAAACGTTGATCACATGTCTCCTTACAAAAGACTCAAAATGTTTGCGGCCTAGCTTCCCCCATCTGGTTTTACTTTGTATCAGTCTATTGAACTCAGGGTTCTTTCCATTCAATTGTGATGGAAGTTGAACTAATCAATAAAGAAATATATATTTATATATATATTCGTAACTAGCTCACAGTACGAGTCTTTTATTTAAGGAATACCTCCTAGCCGGCAACACGACGTATGGAACTAATGCAATGTTTCCCATGAAGGAATAGGTCCACGATCTAAAGTGCGTTAAGTGGTAATATAGAATCAGTCAGTGCTTCGTCATTCAACAAATAAGTCAGTACTGTCCTTTAGTATTAATATTTGTCGCGATCTACTCAAGAAGGATGAATTGACGATTCTGGTTCGATTTTCAATAATCCGATCAACGACATCAAAGTTTCGATGAATTCTAACTGAAGTCACGTCTTCCAGGTCTTCGCAAAAGAACAATCATATTTAAGTCCACGTGTTCTTCGCATTTCAGGGAATGCTTGGCTTTCCATTCGTGCCCACGATCGACGGCGATTTCCTCCCGAGTCATCCAGTTGCCATGCTTGAAGAGCAAGATTTCAGCAACATCGAACTAATCATAGGATCGAACTTGGACGAAGGCGAGTCAGCTTGAATGAACCGTGTGGACCTTTGTTCAAATTTCATATTTTCCCTGAGTTTTTCTTTTTGAAAAAATTGTCTGGGTTCGACATATAAAGGGATAAGTGGACGGTTGCGCCAAGGATACATCTCCTCGGGAATTATGAAAATTATTATTCAATAATCTATTCTGACTATGCAAAACCCATTGATGCTCATACCATTATGGTTTTCGGCGAAAGATGAAAGTTTCTTTCCAGGCGAGAATCCTGCGAAATATCCCTATCCCTGGCTGTTTAGCGGTACGCTCTTAGAGTCTNTGCTCTGGAAAAAAATTGTACTGGATATTCAAGAAATTCCGAGAACTTTCTTTCCAATCAGATATATAATACATTATTGGAGTCATATTTTTGCAAAATTGTTTTTGATTCGTCGTGTCAGCACGTCAACAGACTACATTCAGGCGAAGGGTTTGCTTCGTTTGCACAGGCACTACCCCAGGCATCGTAATTCCCCAGGCAGGGACATCCCTCTAGGGCCCTGAAGTATGTCTTCGGGGAGGCTTTGGCCATTTTCAGTTTTGGGAGGAAAGGGTAAAACGATCCTTCGTACAATTGCAACTTCTCCCAGACTGCCCAAGCTGGAAAGCTGTCAATAGCAATTTCCGAAGCGTGCAGAGAGGCAATGCTAATATATTATAAGGGGGGTTTTCTACACCGCCATTTGGAAAAAGTGAAATTTTGTGAAATTTCTAAAATTTTCAAATGTTCTGTTTGGAATATTCCACAATAAGAATATTTCTACTTGATCCAGCTTTGGGATGTACGAGGGGTGATCAATAAATAAAGTAACAAGGCCTGCTCCGAATAAGTTGTTGTTTGTATCGAGGAATTTTTTGGCGACGTAGCACAGTGATGGTGAGTCCGGGAACAGCGACCGGGAAGTGGAAGAAGTTCATCGATGGCACTCATTTGCCCAGACTCGAAAGCTTTACACCAGACCCATAATTGTTTTCGAGACATGGCATGCTCTCCTTAAACCTCTGTAACTTGGAGATGGATTTCTGCAGGCGTGATGGCTCTTGCATGAAAGAACCGAATAGCTCTCGACGCTTCAACCTTTCACCTCGTTTCTAGGAGTGCCTTCATCATAAAAAATACACTCGATTGGTTTGCACGATCATTTCTCAAGTGTTATTCCTCAAAACACTCAAAGAGTGTTTTTCACATTCGCAGTCTGCCTTACTAACAGTTGATGTGATTAAGATTAAAAGGTAATCGGCGACGAATACTGATATTCTCTAACGTCAGGCTAACCAAATTGCGAAAATATCAAAGGCTTTTAAACTTATAAGCTAAGTCTACCACCAATATACAAAACCAATTATTTTCACCATATGAGTAGACACGAAAAATAGAGGAAGTGGTCACAAAAGAATCACTGAAAGATGCACGAGCTGCGAACACGGGCCAGAGGGAAGGTGATGGGGCGATGAGGGCACGCACTCTCACGCGCTTGTGCGTGAATCCTACAGTGAATGCATCGCCCCGAAGCCTTATGAGGGGCCTCCTTCGACACGATGGAGCGAAGCACGAAGGTTGACACGCGTCTGAACGATGCCATGCCCCCCCCCCCCATTTGCTCGTCTTGGCTATAGACGCATTTCGGATTTGCAGACGCCCCTTGGGAATAGAGAACTAGCTCTCTTCGCAGAAAAATTTCCCCGATGTAATTATATTTATGCGGTCTTATGTCCACTCGTGGGTTCACTTTTTCCCTTCAGGCGTAAATGCGCATTAAAATAAGGAAGTATAGCTCACAAATATCCATATCACGATGCACGAGAAATCGTCTCCGAAAAATCGGAGAAAACTTTCTACAAATCGAAAACGGTCAGGTGGAGAGTTCTGTATCTGCGTGGCTTATCACTCAGATGCTGCCGTTCGCACGGAATCGCTCTAGCATGTCCTTTGATAATAAAAAAAAACACGAGTCCTCGGTAAGCAAAACCAGTTGCCTTCGTCCTTCATACTCTCGATTCAAGGCCACCTCACGATGAAAACGGGTTTTACGCGATATTTGTGAATTCAGGACACCTCTTATTACGAAGTGTCCGAAGTGAAGCTCCTTATTGTGCCCTACTCCTTCTCCGATGACAAAGAGTGCATTTTAGTTTCTGACCTGAAGTAAAATTGGCTGGAAACCGTGTTTTCCATAAGGGAGGAAATGCCAGAGATTCATGTCGGGCGAAACGTAATTTGCATTTCTGCTCGTTTACCGTCCGTGGAAATATTATGATACGTGTATTGTAATTAACTAATGGCAGGTAAACCTGCTGAAAACCGGAGGAAACGAAGTGCTCTATTGTCGTGGAAGGAGTAACCACGAACTTCAGAGAATACCACCCTAGCAACACCCGAAAATATTGAATGCACGTTTCATTTTAGGTACTGTCAAAATCCACGAGAACCTTGCATGGATTGTTTAAATATCCGATATTGAGAGCGATCGAAACGGGTCAATTCAGGCGTTCCTTGAACAATGTGAACTCAAATAGGACGAGAATTTAAAATTTCGAAGAAAATAAAAGGGTTCCATAAGCGTTCTTTTTCAGGCTTCAACCAATATGCAATTAACCTATTGAATACTTCCTTCTCTTCACTTACATTGCATCCAGTCTCAGTAAAGCCCTGCTCCAGTGGCAGAGAAGATCATGGAACCAAATAGTCCAGTTGGAACGTCCATTTTATGGAATCGTCTGGCTGAGAAGCCTATAATTATTCTAAGTAAACCTTTATCGCGTCGGCAGTTACCTCATAATCAAGTACCTAATCACGCCCGGTACTGAATCCCCTGCTCACAGGCTCGATTATAATCATTTTCATCTTTTCCTCTTTTAATCGCTCTTCTCATGCAAGAAGTGACCTTCGAAATTGAACAATCTTCCCTCTATCTTTCGAGCCAGAGTTTTCTGACGACTCCTTTGACTGGGTTACCGCTTAAGACCAATTTGTTGAAGAATTCAAATATTTGCGCCTCTGGTTTATGACCGGAAATATCGGCTAGCGTGAGGAAGGTATCTGGGACTATTACAGCAGTATCAGGAATGAACCCACTATGTGCGACTACTTTCGTGACATCTAGCGTCGGTTGCGCGAGCCTTCGGTTGAATCCATTGTCAGATGGAAACCACAGACACGTTTGAGGTAAAAATATCCATAACGTCCAACCACTGTCCTTCAAATGCTGCATGTTTTGTGTTCAAACGACACCTTAACCGAGCGCAGAAAATGTGCTCCTCCGTGTACATCGGACGAAATGGAACGCAATTTGAACGTTCACGTGCTATTTGGGCACGGTCATACGTTGAAAGCCTGCAGGTCTCATTTGACTCGTGATTATCCTTGGCACCCGACCCTGTGCATGAAGCATTGTGTCAACAAAGGTGAACAAAATAATTCGGTAAAATCCCGCAGCTGAAACGGAAATGCAACACTGAGCGCGCAGGTTTCATTTGTCGATGCTCATTTCATCGATCATTTAACATGACACCTCAGCAAGTCAATGGATCACAGTGCCCAAAAAACGAAAATAAAAATGCATACATTTTAAGGAAGCATACTATGTGGAGCACACCTTCCACCGCTAGCGAGAGTGTTTACCCACTGCAATCTACAACACACCTTCTCAGTGTCGGCGCACAGACGCGAGACCGCAGCCACGAGAAATGAGCGAGTCCAAATTTGGGGATGGGTCTGAGGGGTTGTGTCCCTGTCTGAGAAACATCAACGGCTAGCGTCGTACATAAGCTCATATGAGTAGGGAAAGACAGGGAACATGCAGCAAACAGGACAGTCACGATTCGCAGACCATCTTTTATTTTTACTGCTATTTCCCGGTCCTATTGAGTATATTTGAATTTTTGTGTCATCTACAAATGCGACTGCGATAGAGGAAAACAATGCAACATATGAACATTCGCGCTCCATATATCATCATGGACGTTTAAAATCCTTGTATTCCAGTGCAGCAAGCGATGCCAGCGCTCCCTTGTGAGAAACGAGGCAAGTTTCGTCTCCTTGTTTATTTCAGAGATGGCGAGACGAGAGTGAAACTGCGATTTTCCGTGAAAGTTGCTTCCCTTCCTTTTCGTGAGGCAGATTTGCAAATTTCATTTCGAAACAGCACGTCCGCGGATGGGAAGGAAGAGATCTGTGAAAACTTAAGTTCATATGACTAAGCCTTCGGTCTGTAGAGCTGTCACCAACACACAAACGCACAATTGAGGAGTTCTCTAGAAAAATTGCGTATGT